GCTATATAAACCATTTCAAGTCAGGACTACACATTATGAATGTAGTGTTTTTGGGCCCCTTGATGGAAATAAGGGAGAATGCAAGAGAAAAGAATTGTGGATTTAAAAAAAAAAAGAATTATGAATAAAAACTTCCCCATCATTTAGAATCACAATTATCAAATTTTAATGTTTTAAGAGATCTTAAGGAGGGGGAAAATGGAGAATTTCAAATTCTCATGGACTCATGGAGGCTGGATGAACCCTCTGAAACTATTGCCCTGAGATAATCTTTAAACCTTAAGCCAAAAATATCCCCAGAAGTCTTCTTAAAACAAAACAATAGTTTAGCTTAACTAGTAAAGAATGTCTGCCTTGAGCATTATGTTCTTTTAAGAACTGTCTATATGGGATCAAATTGACAGCAACTCAGGAAAATTACATAGGAACCTTAGGGGGCAGTGAGTTTATGTTAATAGGGAAGGAACAACTCAGTAAAGGAGGGTGAGAATGGTTGCACTACTGGAAGAACTGAATTGTCCGTGTAGAAACTGCTGAACTGATGTATGTTTTGCTGTGTACATTCTCAACAACAACAAAATAAATAAATTTTAAAAACTTGAACTGGAAAAAAAAGATTTAAAGATCTGAATTTAAACTCTTAAAAAAAAAAAAAATTAAAAGACCTGAATTTAAACCCTTAAAAAAAAAAGAAAAAGAATTAAAGACCTGAATTTAAACTCTTAAAAAAAAAAAGAGAGATCTTCAGGAGGAGATGATGATGAGGATATGAATAGTAGGTAACATTTATTGGGGGCTTGTTAAGTGCTCAGCCGTGTTCTAAATGGTGCAGCTATTATCCTTACTTTACAGATAAAAAAGTGAGGCATAGAAAAAGGTAGAGAACTTGTTTCAGGTTTCACAGTTAATGACTATTTTGCTAAAAAAAAACAACAAAAAACCCACTAACTTGGTGGAGTAAGTTGATTTGCCCATAATCATTTATCCTTTTCCTCAGTCGCCAAAGTTTTTTTACATCATCCACTGGATAATACATTTTGGTACAGTTATTATGTTATACCTAGTTGCTGTTAAGTTTAAAAAGGAAAAAAACTATAATAAGTACCATCTTTCTTAGATTATTTTAATATATCTTTTTTAGTTAACTCTCCTAATTTGTATTAACATTGACTTTGTTCATACTTTTTTCCCTCAAAAGTTCAAAATACTAAATTGTAATGTGGATGGGGAACATCTTGGCAGGAATGATTAAATGTTTGGTTTTTTCCTTTATAGGAAATGATGAGCAGGTTATCCTCCATGACGTTGAAAGGTAAATAGATTGTTGGTGTGTGAAGGTGACTGACTGTATTTTTCATATAAAGAGAGGCAGATATCTGTTTAGACCAGTGTAGTTTTTGTTTCTTGAAAAAAATCATGTGAAACCAGTTGTCTTTCTGAAAAATAGTTTTGAAATAAGGTTTTGATTTAAAAATATATACATTTGCAAAGAAGCCCTGGTAGCGCAGTGGTTAAGAGCTCAGCTGCTAACCAAAAGGTTTGGCAGTTCAAATCCACCAGTTGCTCTTTGGAAATCCTATGGGGCATTTCTACTCTGTCTTATCGGGTCGCTATGAGTTGGAATCGACTCGACAGCAACGGGTTTGGTTTGGTTTTATATTTGCAAAGTTGGTATGAAATCATAGTTTTCAGGTGAAAATTTAAAAAGAGACATTGGAAGGGAAGGGAACATAATACTTACTAGTAATAATAGCTGGTATTTATTGAGTTCTTATTATATACCAGGTGCTGTTCAAAGTGCTTTGTATGAATGAATCCATTTAACCCTCACAATAATTTTATGAGGAGACACTACTGTGATCTCCAACACAGATGAGGAAACTGAGTCACTGAGGTGTTAAGTTACTTTAAGGTCACGTGGTGCTGGGATCTGAACCTAGGCAATTTGGTCTCAGAGCCATGCTCTTAATCACCACGCCAGGCTGCCAGAAGATCCCTCTTCTAGCATCAGATTCCTACCCTTGCTTCCATCAGACCTGGCTGCTTTAAAGCTTTCTGTTGCTTTTTAGAAATCAAACACCACTCCCAAATCTGCACATAAATGCATCCTATAATAAATGAAAACATGAAACTCCTCTATTGAGTCACCTTCAGATATGCTTATTTAATGCAAAAAGCAAACCTATTATGAAATGTATAAAAAGCGTCTTTAATAGTACCTTTTTTTTTTAAACCTGAAAGTTGAACCACTGCCTTTTAGGAGAAGGCTGATTCGTAGTATAATATCTTTCAAGTTTAGCTGGATTGATTTTCTCATAAAAATGGAGGAGATCTCCACCCTGGATACCACAGGGTGGGACTCTGCACTGTTTGTGTGTATGTGTGTGCCTGTGTGCCTCTCTCTTGTTCTCTGTCTCTCAGCAGCGAGACCCTGGATGTGTTTGCCCATGAAGATGCGGTATATGGCTTGTCGGTGAGCCCAGTGAATGACAACATTTTTGCCAGCTCTTCAGATGATGGCCGGGTTCTAATCTGGGACATCCGAGAGTCTCCCCATGGAGGTAGGATCACAGTACAAAAGGCTGTTGGATTGGGTTGAAAAATTTCATGTCAAGTTCATTGCAGATCCAATTTATGACTTGAGTGATCTGGGAGAGGAAATGTGAAACTGTCACATGGGGCATAAATGTGTGTCTTTGGAGGTCCCATTCCCATGCAGATCTCCACAACCCTATCAGTATCTTGGTGTTTAGTGGCCCCAAGGAGCAGAAGATGTGGTTCTTCGTTGTTGAGAGTAGCCACCAAGGGCCAGCACTGTGGGTGGTGCTGACATGCACATCTTGATAGTTTCCTGAGAATGGGGGTGTTATGCACTCTCTTTCATCCTAGTCTTAGGCTTATTATTTGGCTGAAAGAACCATAAAACCGCACCTGGCTGTGTACTGGATCTTAAAATGATGGCAGATACAGTCTGGTTAAGGGGGATTATCTGTTTGAGTTCCTCCTCCAAATGTGTCTCTGAAGTATAAAATGAAGAACTTGTTCTGTTGAATTTCTCCAAAGCTCTTCAGGAAATGCATCTCATTTTATTTCCTGCAGAGAGATTTCTCTCTGTAATTGTCTGTCTTCAAAGGCTCTTTCCCCTACTACCATCTCGCACTGTGCCACTGCCACCCCTAACCCTTGGCACAGCTTTGTAATGATCATGCCTATGCACATAGAGTTACTGTCCTGCCTGCATTGTCCTGTTACTGTGGTCTGGGTCTTTTTATTGGTCTGTATTCCAAACATTTAATATACTGGGCTGTGCTCATCACTGAGGTTCAGGCTACAAGAGAAGCTTGTTTTTAGGATCAGGCAGGCAAGGCAGTGGCAAGCAGCAGCTGTGGTTGAATCACTGTGTGCTTGGAAGGTGAAATTCTCTTTGTCTAAACTGCTTGATGGCTGAGATGACTGAGCGCATCACCTGCCTGGAAGCCTGTGCAGGATTGCATTATGGAAATCATAGACTGGGAAGTGCTTTCTGTCTGTTACTTCTAACAGGTTCCACAGGAGTATGCCCTCTTAGGTAAGCAAAGTGATTCCTTCCTGATATATGTGGAGTGCCACAGGATTTCTAGGTGAAGTTAATTAGGAGCTGGGGGAATGCAAGAGAAGTTCATGTGTTAGGTGCATTTTTTTTTTTTTTTTTTAATATTCCACTACTGGGAGTGAAATCATAAAATTCTAGAATGAGGCCATTTTCTTCACTTGTACCCCTTTTCAGTTTAGGAATCAATGTGAACCAAAAGGAATAACTGCACTATTGTTTTGCGATACTTTTCATTAAATCTATGTGTAGTTTTAAAACTTTCAATTTCTGAAACCAGTACATTTGGATTAAAGGTATAATAATCCTACTAGTAATTGGCAGTGAATTTTTTTCAGCTGATGTGGAATTCAGTTTTACTTACTGTAAAACAGCTTACCTTCCCGGTTACAGTGCCCATTTTGTTTTGTCACAGCATCCGAATAGGTATTGTATATACTTCTAAGTATTATGGTTTAAAATTTGGTTAAATGTTTTTAAGCTGCTGTTTTCAGACTTCCTGTGTGCAGGAAGTGAGTACAAGGACTTGTGGGGACCTTGTGAGTACGGGTGACTGGGATAATATGCTACTTTGGGGTTCCAGCCCATTGGAGTGGTTATTAAAGAGTGTGTTCCTAGCCACCTTCACACTCCTGCTTGTCTGCCTGTCACTGGGCCAGGCACTGGAATGAACTGATCATCATTTCTCTTTTTCACAGAGCCCTTCTGCCTGGCCAACTATCCATCAGCCTTTCACAGTGTCATGTTTAACCCTGTGGAGCCCCGGCTATTGGCCACGGCCAATTCAAAGGAAGGAGTGGGACTCTGGGATATACGAAAACCTCAGAGGTGAGCCACCTATATTTGTAAGGTGTTAAAACTTTTCTCTGCCTCATCTCTCAGGTAATGTGATCAGCCCACAAGGGTTGTGAGACCTGTTGGCAGTTGATCTCAATTGGATATCTCCTAACGAGCACCGCGTCTCTGAAGCCAGAGGAGCCATGTTTCCAGGAGGCAGACAGTATGAGAAATCCACAGTCCTTGCTAAGGAGGAATCATAAACTGTGATCTGGACTCTAAGCAGGGTCAATTCTAGGCAAATGTATAAAGTAGTGAGCACTTCCCTTCAGTACTGCCTCCCCGCTTTAGGCCCAGCGCGCACCAGATGCAAAGGAGTTCTTCCCACGGAGGAAAGAGATCTGTCAAACTCATTGCTGCTGAGCCAGGGGTTCAAACCCAGGCTGGAGCAGGTACCTAGATGGGCTTCGGGAGGATGCAAACCCCCAACATTATATGGAAATTTTATTGTATATTCACATAAGTAAATTTTTCTGAAGAGGGATTTGTTTACTCCAAAGGACCAGTGAAGACAACAACAAAAGGTTAAGAACCACTGCAGTATGGTGTTAGGAACCTAACGTGTTTCCCTTTCTGTTTGCATTATTAAAAGAGTACACTTAGGACAATCCTGAACTGATGGTTTCAATCACTAATGGAGGAATTTCAGGCTTCATTAAGGGAATTACGCGGGGAGGAGAAGAGTAGGAGGTGTTTTTTTAAATCCAATGGGGGAGAGACCACCTTTTATGGCACCTGTGTATACAGCTGGCCTTGCTTTTAGACTTACATGCTTTGCTAGCTCCTCTGGGAGTTGGAGATAATTTCCCACTTTGTAAAGCAATATTGCAGAAGAATATTACGGAAAGTAAACCAGGTTATGATTTATTTCATGGACCTCAGATGAAAGGAGCAGTTAAGTACAGAGCATTATCTTCCTTGATGATTTTTAATCCTAGCTAATTCTTTCCATGGGGTAGGCAGAGGGGGTTTGTTGCCCAGAGGGGTACCCCTGGTGTTGAACAGGGGTCCCTGAGGCTCCACAGGGCAACAGAGATTTTTCCTGCCGTCTCTGCTGCATACATACCTGGCTCTTGCTTTTTTATGCTGCTGAAATGTGTATAGTGGCAGGACCTCTGTTGGGCCTTTGTACTGTGTGTTTAGGGAGGTTTGCTGTCTGCCAGGAAGACATCTCCTGTGTTCAGCTAGCATTCTCTGCCACTTCAGGCTCTGTAGGAACAAGAGTTCTGGCTCACCCATATTACAAAAGTCAGAATTTGGATTAACTATGCTAGCTGTCTCCTCCCAACCTGCCATCTCCCATACTTATCATTGTAACGAATAGCTGGCAAGTGGAGTGGGGCACTGAGCTATTCATCCCCAGTGGAAGGCTTGAGTAATTCATTATGTCAGCAGGGTGTTGAGAGAAGAGGTGTATGTGCTTGTTTTAATTTGCCTCATTCTCCCCCAACCTCCTCTACCAGATTCCTACTATGAATAGTATTTAGGCCCTGTTTCCCTTTCTACTTGTCTCCTCACTAAACATGGTTTCTTTCTTTTTTAAAAATTCCAAGGGATGATTAGTGTTGTGTTTTTTATAGTAACATTTATTAGATTTAGGTCTTTTGTGCAGAAAAGTATAAAAAAAACTAAAATTGCCCATAATTCCATCTCTAGATTATCTCTGTTATGTATGTTTTTTGATTGTTTATACATCACTGGGGGTCTTCTCTTTCCCAGTCTGTAGTCAGTCTATACAAAGGTAACTAGTCAACAGTTTGTTATGTATCATTCCAGAAAATAATTTAATGTATATGCTAGCATGTGTATGTACCCTTTATAAAATTTAGACTAAAGGAACCATGTAATAATACCCACTGTTGGAAACCTCTTTTTTCAATTAATAATATGTCTTGGAGCTCTTTTTTTATGTCAGCACTTGCTCATTCTCCACCCCCTTTCCCCAGACTCTCTGTTGACCCCTTTCCCCAGCCCCTGGTAACCATTAATCTTTTGTTTCGATGGATTTGCCTGTCTAGAAGTTTCATAAAAGTGGAATCATCCTGTTATGGATTGAATTACCCGTTGCTGTTGAGTCAATTCCAACTCATAGTGACCCTATATGGTGGAGTAGAACTGCCCCATAAGGTTTCCAAGGAGTGCCTGGTGGATTAGAACTGCTGACCTTAGTTAGCAGCCATACCTCTTAACCACTGTGCCGCCAGGGTTTATGGATTGAATTGTGTCCCCCAAAAATGTATGTATCAATTTGGGTAGGCCACGATTCCCAGTATTGTGCGATTGTCCACCATTTTGTCATCTGTTGTGATTTTTCTATGTGTTATAAATTCTACCTCTATCATATTAATGAGGTGGGATTAGTGGCAGTTACGTGAATGATACAGAACTCAATCTACAAGATTAGGTTGTGTCTTAAGCCAGTCTCTTTTGAGATAATGAGAGAGAGAAGTGAGCAGAGAGACAGGGGGACCTCATACTAAGAAGGAAGCACCAGGAGCATAGCGCGTCCTTTGGACATGGGGTCCCTGCGCTGAGAAGCTCCTTGATCAGGGGAAGATAAATAACAAGGACCTTTCCCCAGAGCTGACAGAAAGAAAAACCTTCCCCTGGAGCTGGCACCCTGGATTCAGACTTCTGGCCGCCTACACTGTGAGAGAATAAATTTCTCTCCGTTAAAGCCCTCCACCTGTGGTATTTCTTTTATAGCGGCACTAGATGACTAAGACACATCCTATATTTGATTCTTTGTATCTGACTTATTTCACTTAGCATAATGTTTTTAAGGTTCATTTGTGTGATGGATGGCAGGTATCTAACTTCATTTCTCTTTATAGCTGAATAATACTGAATAATACTGAATAATAATAATAATATATGTGTGTATCCCATTTTGTCCATTCTTCTGTTGATGGACTGTTACATTGTTTCCACCTTTTGGCTATTGTGAATAATGCTGCATTGAACATTGGTGTACACGTGCCTGTTTGAGCTGCTGCTTTCAATTCTTTGGGTATAATTCTACCTAGGAGTGGAATTGCTGGGTCATATGATAATTCTGTATTTAACTTTTTTAGGAATCGCCATACCAGTTTCCCACAGTGGCTGCACCATTTTACATTCCTACCACCAATGTACGAGTTTTCCAGTTTCTCCTTGTCCTCGCCAAAAGCTCATTTTTTTAATGGCTACGTAGTATTTCATTCATACAATGTACTCAGCAGCCAGAATTTCTTGTCTCCATTTTTTGACCATTTTAAACAATGATGAATTAATCCTGGTTGCACATCTATCTTGGCCTACTTTTGCAAAAATATCTGTAGGAAATTGTTGCATCAAAGGGTATATGTATTTAAATTTTTGATAAAAGTTGTCAAATTGCCTTCCAAAACAGCTGCCCTGATTTACAAACCTACCAACAGTGTATAAGAGAACATGTTTCTCCAGACCCTCACCAACACTTAACCTTTTGCTAATCTAATAGGGGAAAATAATATCTTCTTGTTTTGATTTCTTCTTTAATTATGAGTGAGGTTATATGGTTCCTTTGGTAACCTATAGTTTTCAAAGCCCATGTGGAAGAAAAGTCACCAATTAAGACCAGTTAAGACTAATTGGTAACCTTGACTGATTTCTTTCTTGGAATAGCACAGTGCCATGGGGACTAGGATAGCTTTGCCTTGTTTCTTTCAACTCCTCTAAAGTTCTATGAGATTTTTCTGAGCATGAGGCCGAAAAGGGGCATGAAATATTCTTGGGCTACAGTTCTTAAATTCACATCCACTGGTATTTTGAGATTAAATTGCAGATCTTTTTGATTCAAATACCCTCAGTACAAGCTGGTGTAGGGGAGGGGGAGAGAGCCCTTTGTCTTTTCCTTGCAGGACTAGGTTATTGTGCCAAGATGCAATGGATGATTTCTCTCCTGAGCACAGCTGCCTAGAAACCCTGACCCAAATCTTGGGTGAAGTTTTGAATCGCCTGGGAGGACAAACCTGGAACAGGATAGATCTATTTCAGAGATACTTGGAGTCTAGGGAGAGATTTTAGAGGATTTGTGAACCCCTTATAATTGCAGGTAAAATTGTGTGTTTGTGTATCTGAGGGAGTACACATGTAGCGTGTTTTCTGGGGAGGGGAAAGCGCTTTTAGCGGGTTCCCATAGAGACTCATGGCCCCAAAAGGATAATAACAGTTGCTCTGTGTTCTGGAGATTTTAGATTTAAAGCCTGTCGTGGCTCCTCGCCATGCTTATAAGTGGCTTCCAGTTTATAATAGCTTAGGAGTGTGGGTGAATTTCAGGGCCTACTCGGAAGGGCTACTGGCCTTCTAGAAACACGATAATCTCTTTGGAACAATGAGGGGCCTCACACTGAACCCCTTTTCCTTCCTGGCTTTCATCCTTGAATGGTTTCTCTGGCCTATCCGAAACCTAAACTGTACTTTTGTAGTTTAGCTCGGTGACCTGTAGGTATGTGAACAGGTTTACCTCTGGCTCGCAGAGTCAGCGGGGATACTTTCATCACACTGCTGCCCAGAAATAAGCTGATTAGAGGCTGGCTGGTAGCATAAAATGTCAGTCATAGAAGGGACTTTAGGAGCCCTGGTGGCACAGTGGTTAAGAGCTATGGCTTTGAACCACAAGGTCAACAGTTTGAATCTACCAGCCACTCCTTGGAAGCCCTATGGGGCAGTTCTACTCTGCCCTTTAGGGTCGCTATGAGTCAGAATTGACTTGATGGAAATAGGTTTGGTTTTTTGGTTTAGAAGGGACTTTAGTTATCATCTGATCTGACTTCCACATTGTACAGATTAAGAAACTAGCCCAACCAGGTAAGGGGAGGCAGTGGAAAAGCTTGATCATTTAAGTGTAGGATATGAAGCTATACTTCTTGGGGGTAAATCCAGGCAGTACACTTAATAACCATATGATCTTGAACAAGTTACTTCACCTGTTAGTACCTTATAATAATAGTAATAGCTAACATTTCATA